AGCGGCGCGGTAGCGGTAGATTTTTTAAAAATCATCGCGGCAGCGGCAGGATTTTTTTGGGGAACATTGAAAAACTGCATGAATTTAATAGAATTTCAGGGTTTACAAATGAAACACCCCGAGACTGAATGAATCTGACGGACTAGTACCAATATCTCTGGTCAAATATAGTCGCAGCAGTGAAATTAGAAACACTTTTTTGTAAACCACCGCGGCAGCGGCGCGGCGGCGGCACGTTTATTTTATAATGCATCGCGGCAGCGGCGCGGCAACGTTTTTTTTTATAAGCCATCGCGGCGCGACAACATTTTTTTATAAACCGTCGCGGCGCGGCTGCGGTGCGGCAACTTTTTTTTTCTAAGGCCGCGGCGCGGCAGCGGCAGATTTTCAGCCGCGGTGGACATCTCTGTAACATAAATCTTAAGAAAATTCATCTCCAACATTTTTCTATTATCGTTTTAATCAATATTTTATTTTAAATGCTTTTTTTTCTAATTTTTATTCTTATTACATACGTAGATGTTATGTCGATTAAAAAATCTTGAAATTTTTCATTATTATATGAATATTCTTATCATGACATATCATATATATTCAATAAATCAATTATTTCTTTTAGACAATTGACAGAAACAGAATTCAATTGAAAATCAATATTTTAACAAGAAAATAGAAAATTCTTTTAGAATAAAACCTACAAATTATTCTAATTCACATTAGATCTATCTATTCGAAAAATTTTCACATTATCAATTTAGTAAAATACAATCATCACGTTTAATCAGTAGCATATATTGATGAATCTTCTTACGATTTGTTTTTCTTAATATATCTATTAAAAACATCGTTTTAAATCAATTATGATATAAAAATATATCAAACACTCGATTAGATTCATAATGAACGATAGAACAAAACTAAAATAATTCATTTCTATGCAAAATCTTTCTCAAAACTACTAAACAATTCTTTTTGTTTTATTTAATGCCATTGAAAATATCACCTAAGAACTATTTCTAATAGAAATATCCTATTAATAACAATCTAATACAAATAATGACATGATCGAAGCTCAATCTATATTTTCTTCTAAATTATTATTAATTTTATCATAATAAATCTTAAACAAAATTAGCTCTTATTTCAAATAATACTTACCTAATAATGATTTAATTTCGAAAACATTTGGAATAGAAAATTGTACATATCCTAAATGATTTTTATTGCAATGTAGAAATTTCCAAAAGTTTTCAAGTACATTGTCGGAGCTAAATCTGTCGTACTGAAACTTATCATTAACTATTGACACTTTACCAAAAATTATTTGTTTATAATTTGTTAAACATCCGATGGCATATTTTCGTTCAGGAAATACTTTAACAATTGATCTTAAATACTCCAACATTTGAGAAATATCATTTTGTCTGATAGTATTGCTTTTTCTTTCAATTATTGAGACGATATTCCATGGATAAAAACTATTGTTAATGGACCATGTGAAATCTGGTCGATTGCCACGAAATAAATGTTCAAAATCACCACCTCTCTGATCACCAGTAAATGTTATACTTGGATTAATCTTCTTTAATATATTATCAAATTCTTGACTTTTTTTATTTTCCGGTTTAGATTCTCTAGTAAATTGTTTAATAACATTTTTAAATTCTTCACTAGGTTCACCACCATCAAATTTATCAATACCAAGATATTCTTCTAAACTTTGACAATCTGAATGTGTTGAACAAAGATGGTATAGAACAGATCGTATTGATGTTGATTTTGATTCAGAACTTTTTGATCGAACAGAATCCGATAGACATATATCAGTATGAGAATCACCTAGACAAACCAAAAAAAAATCATGAATTCAGAAATTACTGTTCTATTAAATATTTTTCTATCAAGATATTCATTCAACTACAAACTTCTACAAAGCCCTTAACAAGAATAAAAGTCATACTGATTTCCTTTGTTAATTTTTTTATAATCAAATACTAAAACGCTTTTGTCCTCAATCAAAGTTCACACTTTAAAAAATGTTCAACATTGATATAAGAAATGAGGTAGTTGATTTCTTCTGTATGTGGCAGTGTCTTATGTATTTCTTAACAAAAATAATCGATCATGTTTTTTATTCATATGAATTTCGTTTTTGTACATATAATTTTTTGTACATATAATATTTCAAAACAACACCCATGAAATGCGGTTTGTGACCCAAAAAGAAATATACTATTTTTCATTAGAAAAGCTACTCTCTAATCATACATATAAAACAAACTTACTCATCATTATATCATCGAAATTCAATTCAATAAAATAGCAGAATAAACAAATAGAACAATGAGAAAATCTAAAAATACAAAATAAATGGTACAACTGCAGTTTATGGTACGGTCCCTTAGGCCCCAAACACACTACGCGAATTAAGACTGACTTAACCAATCAAATTGTGAATTAAGTTAAGACAGAATTAAGTCATCTTTTTAACATGACTTAACGTTAATGCGCCAACCCAGGTCGATCGTTCCGGCCACCGGATATTGCAGGAACCGGCAGGAAAATGCGGGAAAAATCACCGTATCCTGCAGGAAAACACCGGAAATAGATGAAACATGGAAGCAGTAGTCCGGCCGGAAATTCTCCGGATTTTTTCCGGTGAATTCCGGCCAATTTCCTGTGTTTTCCGGCAGGAACCGAGCGGAAAATCAGCGGAACAAAATTCCGAAAATTTCCGGCCGGAATACTGCTTCCATGTTCCGGCTATTTCCGGTGTTTTCCTGCGGGAACCGACCGGTACTTTTCGACCTGGGAATGGGATGTGGATGTCGTTTCACCAATAAAAAAAACATATGGCGCCGTCTTTTTTCACACATTTATCATCGACATATACATAAGTAATGGCTCCCATGATTTTAATCGACGTCAAACAAAAATATCGTCTGTTTTACAAAATTGCAGTCATATTTGTACATAAAATAGAATTAAAAAACAATGAAAATATAATGTAGAATGTGTCAATAAAAAACGGTATGCATGATAGAGCCATCTCTCATTGCATAACAATTTTTTATTATGCACTACACTTACATAAAAGAGACTTGCTCGCTGTTCTGATTGGTGATTTAACTGCTTTGTGTGAACGCGTTTTGACTTAAAACAAAATTAAGTTACGTCACTTCTGTAGTGTGTTTGGGCCCTTATTTGCACCGGTATGTTTATTCCAGAGATGTCCATCGCGCCGCTGCCGCGATGGCCTGTGGCGGCAGCGGCAGCGGCAGCTTTTTTAAAAAATCACCGCGGCAGCGGCGCGGTAGCGGTAGATTTTTTAAAAATCATCCCGGCAGCGGCGCGGTAGCGGCAGGTTTTTTAAAAGACCATCGCGGCAGCGGCGCGGCAGCGGCAGGATTTTTTGGGGGAACATTGAAAAACTGCATGAATTTAATAGAATTTCAGGGTTTATAAATGAAACACCCCGAGACTGAATGAATCTGATGGACTGGTACCAATATCTCTGGTCAAATATAGTCGCAGCAGCGAAATTAGAAACACTTTTTTCTAAACCGCCGCGGCAGCGGCGCGGCGGCGGCACGTTTATTTTATAATGCATCGCGGCAGCGGCGCGGCAACGTTTTTTTTATAAGCCATCGCGGCGCGGCAACATTTTTTTATAAACCGTCGCGGCGCGGCTGCGGTGCGGCAGCTTTTTTTTTCTAAGGCCGCGGCGCGGCAGCGGCAGATTTTCAGCCGCGATGGACATCTCTGGTTTATTCAAGCCATGACGTGATCTTTCGATA